GCTAAGTGAGGAATTGTTTAGCTGAGCAGGCAGTATCCGGGAGTATTGAGGTAGCTGCATGGCGTTCGCAGCCTTGATCTCTCCCCTCTATCTCTATCGTTTATTCTGTATTTTTCCTAGACAGACTTGTAATAGGTGGATATTTTGTATTAGAGGCTCATATTCGTGACACCGGATTCTGTTGGGCTATGGTGTGGTATTTTAATTGAACTTCCGCAGATTTTATTATTAATTATACACTTGAATGAAATGACTTAGTAAATTCTCTGTGATATTTATCTATAATCTGAATAAGAATTTGGGATAATGTTGTTGAATGGTCGGGCTTGCCTAGCAGTATGTTGGGCACCATCATGACCGGGGTTGGGGTCGTGACACGTTAGTATTGCTCTTTCTTACAAATATGTTGGGTCATTGTACTTCTGTAATAGGGATGGGTAAACTGCCTCGACAATTGATCCGATTGGATCGTTGGATGGTTTGATACATACATAAGGAGGTAATTTAATAAGCTCCTTATTAATATCATCGTAAAATGAGCCATCTCCAATTTGTAGCAACCATTTGTCGAAAGTCGATATTTTAGCAGCCTCAGAATCACTTACTCTTCCACTATAGAGACGCATATTTTGCTTCAACTCATAAATTGTGAAAAATGGCCACAAGTAAGAGGAGTTTAGTGACGCATCAACAATATCAGCTCGTGTACCCTTTGGAATTACTGGTAGTATTTGACGGAAATCACCACCAAATACAATTGTAAGGCCTCCAAATGGTTTGTCAGAACTATTTTCATACCTCACTCGGAGGATATCTCTCAAGGTTTTGTCTAAGGCTTCAAAACAAAATTTATTTTCCATTGGCGCTTCATCCCAAATGATCAAGGAAGTTTTCAAGAGAAGTTCAGCTAATTGACTGCCTTGTTTTATTTCACAAGTTGACTCTGAGCTAACATCCAAAGGAATATGAAACCGTGAATGAGCTATCCTACCATTTGGTAATAACAAAGCAGCTATTCCAGAAGCAACAGGGAGAAATATTCTTGAGTATGATCTTATCTTGGCTATTATTGTATTCCATAGAAATGTCTTCCTAGTACCACCATGTCCACTTATAAAAAATGAACGGCCTTCTTCCTTCTCAACTGAATTTATTATTGCTTCATACGCTGACTTTTGGCAAGCATTTAACGGAGCGAATGATTGGTCATGCACTATCTTTAGAGCATCTTTGTCATACTCTAGCTCCTCGTTGATAAGACGATTTCCGACATATTAGTAAAGCTGAATCTGGGAGTGGCATTCCATCTATGTCTTTCAAACTTTTTCCCATCTTCAATAGGATGCTTTCAATCTCAAATAATGTATATGCTTCAAGTTGTTTTTTTGTCAACTGTAAATCTTTTAATCGAAATCTCTTTCTCTGTAATGATATTATATCTTCTGATAAAATCTCAAAGTTGGGCTTCCAAATTTTTCTACAATCAGTTACCTGACAGTGAATAAATATCATCACAAAGAGATTTCTCAACTCGTTTTCTATTGCCCAAAGTGCAGCCTCAGCCAAGCAATCATTCCACTCTTTATCATCTTTTAGTAATCCTAAAGTGTAGCATGAATCTTTATAATTGTCATGCGTTACTCCATTTATTCTTCTAATGCTTTCAAATGAAGTGCATCCTTTGACAAAATTAAGCAGCATTCTCATGTAAAAACGTTCTCCACTTGTAGGATGTGCAAAGTAAATTCTACCAACTACATTGCCATTTCTCCTTTTGGTCCAAGTTTTGTCTCTTGAATTCCAGACAAAATGTGTAGGAAAATCAGAATATGTGAGCTCTCGTGCCTCAGTGTATTTTTTGTTTGCCTCAAACCATTCCGTGAATTTTGTTACTTCAATGTCTGGTGTACTAAGAACACTTTCTACTCGCCTTTCTTCTTCGAATATTTTTGAATTTTGTCCCTCTAAATGAAATGGCAATCGCTCAACTGCTGGCTCTCTATGATGTATGCCAAATTTAAAGATCCTCCAGCAAGCTTCTGTAGCTGATATGTATCTGCAGTCTAGATATCTTTTAATCTCATTAATTTCTACATCGGTATCTGTACATTCTACAGTTGTCGTTGCTCTATCGGATCCTTTATTGACATATTTGAACAGGTACTTCACCGACCTTGAGTAATTGCATAGCTCAACATTTATATGTGCATCAAATTTGACGATCAAATTCCTATTGTAAGGTACGACATATCTGTTGTCTAATAAGACACCATTTCTATTGACCTGAGTATCTGTGTTCCTTCTCTTATAAATTGGAAATCCATCTGCATCAAAAGTTGTTCGATCGTTGAATTTTTTTGGAAAATGCTTGGTACACTTTCCTTGCTTCATACATGGGCAATGGCGATTGAGTTCTCCACAGGGTCTGTGCATCATGAAGTTCTTGACGGCATTATAACCATCAGGATCAATCTCCAGATCAGGTATTTCTGCTGCTATTAATTTATCAATATGGTCTATGGAGGGACTCTTTAATATGGGATGCAGGAAGAGCAGTATATGTGCGTGAGGCAGTCCTCTTTTCTGAAATTCAATTGTATATAGACCTACAGAATTAATGGTATATGGTGATAGTTAGGATGGAAGTAAATTAATAATCATACCATCATTTATTCAAAACATAAAGCTGACTTTCTTTTTAAATATTCATCAAAGTAGTACTTTTAAATTCCTATTAATAGTTTATTACGAAGACTTATAATTCTGTTAACTAAATCAAACCTTAATTTTGTTTTTTATTGTGTATCTATTGAGAATACATTTCTTCGTACTTGAGAAGGATAAAGCAAACAAATTAAAGATAAAAGTAAACAAACATATTATTAAGGTCAAAGATGACTATATATCATCATCATACTATAGTATAAGCGGGAACATCTCAAGTGAAAAGTTAAAATACCAAAATATCCTTATAAAGTTGAATGACACTATTGCCCGCCCTTCTATTAAACAATATTGTAAATATTTTTGGACAAGAATGTAAACACAAAATTATAATAAATAATATCTTAAAATCTACTATTAAATGTTAATAGAATTTATTACCTCATATTGGATGTGTCTAACTATTCGTTTTTCTAAAGTTAACCTTTTGCAGTTTCACAATTTTAAGTTTGGCTTTTCAAAGTTCTAAAAGATTTTAGATGTCTTACAGTACATCAATTTTAATAAGGAGACATATATTTAACAAATTAAAAATATTTTTTAAAGACAACATGCAAAATTAATAAGGATTCAAAGATATTGTCGAAACATTAGAATAACTTTTTTGCCCTTTAAATTCAAATAACTATCCTGCATTAAAGTACAAAAATATTATTTCAAATGTATGATGTTGGATTTCAAGAACTAACTTGGAGTGGTAGGAAATTTTTTAGTTCCTTCAACATTAATTGTACATTTATATGGCAATTAGTAGTTCCACCTTTTGTTTGTTCTTTCACCAGATAGCAACATTTGATGTATTGTTGTTTCACATTAATATATTCGCCATTTGCTCTTACTTTTATGATGTTACCAAATTATTGAATTGTTTGTTATTTATTTATTTTCATTTTACTTTATTTACCAGATCGACATATTGTTCTAAGTTGCTTTAATAAAATTAATTAATTTGCTAATATGTGACAATCACTTTCTTAATTATCAAAATTATTTTGCACATAAAAAAAAAAAACAAATAAATCCTTTAACAACAAGAATCTTAAGTTACTAAATTTACACAAATTTCATATCCATTTTTTTGGATTTTCTGGAAAAGATATGGTCATGTTTCTTTTTTTCTTTTCTTTTAGGGTATTACATATATTTTAATCTTTGCCTTTTCCAATTATTTTCCCAAAGAAGAATATATGTCATATATTTGGAGTGAAGAATTATTGTTAACAATGTCAAGATGAATCAACAGTGCTATTGGCTTCTAAAAAAAATACATAACTCGTCAGATTTAATAGGATCAATATTCATTCATTATAAAAAAAAAAATCACTTTTCATTTAACGACTTAAATTTTACGATTGAAATATATTTTTGATAACATTTTATATGTAACATCAGAATTTTGGTTCTCATTGATATGATATATGCAAGGGGAGGTTTAATCATAATGAAATGTCTAAAAACATAAATCCTTTAGGATAAAATAAAATTTGTTTTCATGATACAGATTTAACTGCAAAAAAGACATATTACTAATACTCATTTCGTGCTAATTTATTGATAGATGAGTGATGCCTGCAATGAGTATGTAATGAGGAGGAACTTACAGGCGATTATTTTCCCAAAGGGTTGTTGCTTTTTCAAATCTTGCATTAGCTGGAACAATTTTATTTGAAAAACTCTGCATATGATGTCAACTCGACTATCATCGCCCTCTTGGTTACTTAAGCGGAGCATTTCATTTATTTCTGGCCACTTTGGGTTGCAAGTGAAAGTAAGGAAAAAATCCAGATATCCAGCCCACCTACAAATTGCCATGGCATCTTGATAATTTTGTGCCCTATATCGGGGTCCCCCAGCGTGTGATGAAGGTACTATAATAGTTTTTTCTACCATTGAACAATCAAAATCACCTCTAAGAACAACATCCATTAATCCAGCAGAAAGATCAACTCTGAGTTTTTTTTTATTATTTCGGATATAGCGGAATCTTTCTTCTTCTATTGCCATGCATGTAACCGTCAACGATATACTGCTGCAATTGTCTGCCTGCTAGTAGAAGAGTTTGTCCCTCATTAAGTCTTTATTGTATCCTGAAACAATAGAATTGTCTCATTGTTAATTTTTCTCGCTTGGAATTTCTGTTGTTTACGTCTGCCAAAAGATTCCTAGTCTATATCCGTCTTCGCCATATGGGTGTATTAATGGGTATGTCATAGACATGAAACTTGGGTGTAAATCTGTGATTCTTTGAAGTCCCTTTTTCCGATGTTCTACAATAACATCTCGTTTGAAGTTTTCTTCAGTAAGATCACCAACGATTAATCCTGCAACTTCAGAGGCTGTGGGTATATTGTATTGTTGACCATCTCTTGTCCTATCAGATAGTAGCTGTAGATGGAACACAGATTCTGGATGCTCTCTATATCTATCCCTAGCCATCCTAAATGTTTTTACCAAAATGTTATGCTCATCTAACATTTGAGATAATTCATGAACAACCTTGGGATCAATATCTTCTTGCAACAGCCAACTCATTCTGTTACTTATCTCATTTTCAGTGTCGTATATATAAAGCTGAGCAAACTGTGGCTTCTTCCCAATTTCTGGTAGCAAAGAGCCTATGTGATGGTAATTCTGACCGCTCATCCTGAAAACATACGGCCCCTTCGAACGATTAATAGATCCATCAATTCGCCCCCTATAGATGTGAATGCGAACATCGAGTTATAAGCCCTGATATTTTTTCGAAAGTTGATACCTAGTTGTCCAGAATCTGTTCCCAAAAGATATTTGAGATAGGGTGGTGGTTCAGTCAGTAACGGTAGCCGTACACAGCCTTCCGAACAATACAATAAGAATTTAGGGTGTGATGTCTGTGTAGTTTTTCTTGTTCGTTCTTCATACCATAAAATAGCACCACAATATTGGCATGTGTACGTAGGGGGGGCAAAATTCCAAGTTGTTGCATAATGACCTGTCAAGTTTAAATTTTGTGATATCAATATAAGCATGCTATACTTAGATTGTGATGCGATTTTTCTATTTTCTCACATCAACAAAAATTGAAAGTAACAAATTTGGCACTATTGTTAAGGAATAAAGCTTGGTAAAGAACAACATACCATTTTTTTTGAGGCAGCACATGTCTCCCTTCGAAGTTGATTAACTTCATAAATTTTGTGAATTTTCTCACCAAGTATAGAAACAGAACTATTTTCTTTCTTGGGTGATACTTGTACTTCTTTTCAACTAATGAAACTTTTCGCTTTAGTCTCGCAAACTTGAATCTACAATTTCTGATTACACTTAATTCCTCGTTCTTTCGGTTACATTGTATTGTTGATGAAAATCTCTTCAATTTTATTTTTAACATCCTTTCTTGCCGAGCTAAAACTGGCAAAAGCTGCTGTAGTAGGGTAATCTCTAACGGAATATTCACTGACGCACTAAATTCCTTACCAGTAGCAGATACCAATTCCATTTAATCTGCTATAAAATTTTGAAAGAGTAAAATATATCAAAATAACATGTAAAAGGGAATATTCATGAAAAAGAATATGATATAAGTAGAAGATATGAATATTGGAGGAGCAAATCTAAAGTGAACTAACCTGGTGATGAAATTGGAATTGGAATTAAATGGGGTATAGTGAACGAATTTGCTTATGTGTTATGTTTTGTAAGATAGTTTAAACAAAATACACGCCTTCCTTGGATGTACTAATGCTTGAACTTCTAGAGAAAATAGAATGGATGTTTGGTTGGTTGAAGAGTTTGGAGACGATGAGTATAATCTGGTATAAGGAAAATAAAAAAAATTAGGGATTTGTCTTTTTGTTATTTAGTAGGAGAGTACCGTTAAAAGATTTGGTGGTAAAAAAGTAACAGTTGGCGTGGGGGTTGAGGGATTTAGTTGTGTATCATAAATATTTTAATTGTGAATCATGTTACTGATATATGTTGCAGTTCAAATCTATATAGATTATTATTTTCTTTTGCGTTGTTATGCCTTTATGTATAGGTAAAAATGTATTCTAACTATTTGGGAATTTTGAAACTTCTATGAGACAAGTTTCTGTGAAAAGAAAGAGTAATACCCAAAAGTCTATGTATAAGCCAAATGCAATTCCAATAGCAGCCTAATTAAAGTTAAAAGGATGCAAATTGATAGAGAAAATGCATAGCAACAACCACAGCAGCTGAGCCCATATCCACTAAATTCCACTGCCTATCAAACAGTACATTCCTAGGCTGCTTCACCAGAAAACAGAATTCTGTTAAAGCTTGATTCTTTTTCATTTTCTGATATCGACGTCGACGCTGCATGTCACGACCCATTTTCTGAACAAGCTGGGACCGACACTTGATTATTAAACATGACCGAGCGAACTATCTCTGCTTATCAAATCTATTATAACTCCAAACTTTATATGCAACAAGGTAATACTCTAACCAAATACTTTTGATTAATTTAAACATTTACATAAATCAACTCCAAAACTTTATTCATAGTAACCAATGAAATACTGCTAAGTTATTATCAAAAACATCTGAATCTTAAACCAACGACTATGTCTATGAAGCCTCTACTGATAAACTGACGCACTGCTCAGGACATGAGATTCCTGGCCAGTTCTCTAAGTAAACAAAGAAATAGCTAAATAAAAATGACTCTAAGGAATACTCCACGAACAAAAGCGGAGCTCACCAATAGCAATGGAAGGGAAGGAAGTCCTAACTCGTAGCCTTCTCGCCTGCAAATCCGGTTACTACGTTGTACCGCAGACCAACGTAGGTTCCCAAAAGAGAATGTCAGTACCATCCATTTTACTCAAGTGAGTCTCAACAACAGGGGGCGAAACTTTAATAACATATACATTATGAGCAAAGGTTCTAAATGCATGTAAAACATAAAGCTTATAAGAATAATTCTAAATAATTGCATAATAGCAGTTTTTGAATATTCTAAAAGAAATTCTTTTCTTTTTCTTTCTTAAAAAAATATACTTCACTTTATACTTTGGGAGTTCCAACTATCCTGACTTAATTCTGTCTCAGTCACCGTGTGATCGGCACGGGTTCAATCCCAACCTGCTCGAATAGGCCCAATCCACGAGGTGTCACTCGCTTTATGGTTCTCAGTGCTCATGTCTCATACCTTAGCATGGCTAAGTAAATTCTCAGCAACGAGACCCTCAGCTCGTGTGCTCCCTACTTTGGCACAAGTAGTTTCAGGAAGTCAACGCCTTGGTCAGGACCCTAGGCCTGGACGATGATCCCTTCTCAGAATAAAGGATACTCCGAAAAATCTTTTCTTTCGAAAACTTCTTCTTGTGACTTTGTAAGTCTAAATCTTTTATACATACTCACATTGGTATCCTTAAATGTAAGGCATGGCATAAGAATGGAATAAACATTCAAAAGTATTTATAAAGATTCTTGATCCTTCATGAATTTTCAACATGAAGATGGCATATAAGAATAACATAAAAATCTAAAATTTATGCACATAAATCCAAATAATCATCTAAACTTTAGCTAGAAAATAATTCTAAGCTAATAGGCACTTACTACTCCAATTAAGTATATATTAACTCTTTTATGCAATTCATCAAATACCTTGTGTGTGTGCTTTTGTGAGTTAAATCACTTTAGTAAAGGGTTATATCAACTCATCTCAAAACTCCTTGAGCCAATACGTAGACCCCAGTCCAATTTATACCCGTCAAACAATCGATTCTACAACAACCAGTGCATTTTAATCAATTTTAAAGTTTCACACCTAAACATGAAATTTACTGTTGATATAGAGGAAGAAGGGAATTAACCATTCAATTCTTACCTATTACTACTTTAGGATAATTGACAATAGGAAATTTTATATACCTGAGTTCAAGAATAAGTGAGTTATAATGAACCGTAGAATTTTTTCATGCGTGAGCAATTCCTGGCTGCCTCTGTTCGTAAGGCTTTAAACGTTTTCTATGCCTGGCGTGAATAAACAGAACATTAGTTCTGTATTGCTTTAAGGCTTTAAGCCTTTGCTTTTTGAATGACACACGTTTCTTACCCTTTCCAAGGCTTTAAGCCTTTTTTTGTTTTGTTTTATTATTTTTTNAAGACCATCTACATCAGGCACACATAACCGATCATTCAACTTCAAAACTCTGTCACTTCCTAGAATGAAAGCAGTGATTTCTTTGTTTCTGACTCCTTCTTTTAATTTCACTAAGTACGGATCTTCATCTTGCTTAGCCTTAACATGCGCAACAAGGGAGGATTGTGCTAAGGCATAAGCAGTTCTATCTCCTTCTTCGGTCTCATCCAATCTAATTCCATCATTGGCTAGTTTTTGAATTTCTCGACCCAAAGATTGCCTTTGTACACCAAGATGGGCCAAGACACCCATTGACTTCCTACTAAGTGCATCTGCTACCACATTAGCTTTGCCCGGGTGATAAAGGATATTGATGTCATAATCTTTCAATAGCTTGAGCCACCTTCTTTGTCTCAAATTTAGTTCTTTTTGCTTGAAAATATACTGGAGACTTTTGTGATCTGTAAACACTTCAGAATGCTTGCCATATTTTTAATGCAAACACCATTCCTTCAAGCTCAAAGTCGTGTGTGGGGTAGTTCTTTTCATGATTCTTTAACTACCTGGAAGCATAAACAATAACTTTTTCATTTTGCATAAGAATACAACCAAGGCCCACTCTGGAGGCATCACAATACACTGTGAACCCACCCAAACCTGTCGGCAAGGTTAACATAGGTGTAGTAGTCAACCTCTTCTTTAACTCTTGAAAACTCTGCTCACAAGCGTCTGACCATTGGAACTTAACTGCTTTCTGAGTCAACTTAGTTAATGGAGCTGCAAGTGACAAAAACCCCTCTACAAACCTTCTATAGTAGCCAGCTAATCCCAAGAAGCTCCTGATTTCGGTTGGCATTGTCGGCCTAGGCCAGTTCTTGACTGCTTCTGTCTTTTGAGGGTCTACTTTTAT